CACGCACGCACGCACGCACACACACTCTCACTCAAACACACACTCAAACACACATACACACACCTCACACTCACACACACTCTTACACACACACATACCCTCCAGAGTGTGGTGACTCCCTCCTCCCTAGTGATTCTGATGAGGGCATTGAAGACATTTGTGTAGCCCCTCCTTTGATCTGGAGGCAACCTGGACAAGCAAGAGATAATGGAGGAGCGATATTTTATTAATGGTTTCATTATTTTAATAGCGAAACAAGATGATGATGATCATGAAGATTTTAATATTTTAACACAATCAAATATTAAAAAGTGTTCTTTTTGTATCATTTAAATAATGTTATATCATTTTTTAATTGAAATTTAAAAATAAAAATGGATTCATTTTAATTTTAGTTTATGTAATTTTGTTATGTGCTATTAGTTTTTTTCATATTTCTATTTAGCTTTAATTTACTTTTAATTTCAGGTTTAGTTTTAGTAATTCAGTACTTTAAATTAAAACGGTAGGAAGTCAAAATTTATAATTTTCTTACGTTTTTGTATTTTTCATTTTTTAATCTAATATTTATGTTTAATTTTAGATTTAAATTAACAAACCAGTTTTTAATAGTTTTATTTACCAAAAACAATATATATATATTTTTAATTTGAATGTTATTCATAACATTACTAGCATATTTATGCATATTACTAGAATACTGGCTTTTTTTAGTACTTATAAAGCACATATTAAAGCCTTATTCTGCAAGAGCATATTTTAGATCCATTAATCCGACCCATACCTAAACTTAACAACTACCTTCAGTGGCGTAAGTTTGTCTTAAAAAGTGGTGGGCACGGGGGGAGGTTACATCTGCTTTAAATATTACATAAATTATACAATTAAAAATATTATTATCTACAAATTATTTAACTTATTGCAAAAATAAATATAATATTCAAGCGCTTTTATGACAGATAAGTAACCAGTGCATGAAATAGTCATTTCATTGCATGCTGATTCCTTTTACGGGATACAAAATATTTTCTTTGTGCTCAGACTCTGTATAACACAATTTAATGCAGAATTTTCACAACCAAGCAATGCTCGCCGCAGGCCTGGTTTTACAGAGGTGCTAGAGGAAGCATGCTCAAGCTGAAGCTGTAATAATAACATATTAGCCAAACAGATTTGGCAAACGAGCAGCGCCAGTGAGCATCTGTGTTTGCGCTACGGAGAGCATCAAAGGTTTCTATTTCCAATGTGTTTTGACTTGAGTAATAAATGTAAGCGTTCACAGACATATCCGTTTCATTTCATGAATGCAGTGGAAAAGCATCGCTCAAAATGCCTCTGATTTTGTGCAGTGCAGAGTTCTGCGCACTCGCGAATCCTCTTATTACAACAAACAAAGTGTAAACACGATGTAAATATGAGATTCATTTCGCAGTGTAGAGAGATTCGTTGATTTTAACGGAACTTCTTCGTAAGATCGCAACACAAAAACCTAGTGTTTCACAAGTCTAAAAGGACACGTTTTCAGAATTATCCCATGACTGTCCTGAAGCAGCAGTGTTTGGTTAATTTGGTCACTTTCGGGAAACAATGTGTGAGAAAGTCAAATGTGACCGTGGAGCACAAAAGCAGTCTTAAGTCGCTGGGGTATATTTGTAGCAATAGCCAACAATACATTGTATGGGTCAAAATGATACATTTTTCTTTTATGCCAAAAATCATTAGGATATTAAGTAAAGATCATGTTCCATGAAGATATTTTGTAAATGTCCTACCATAAATATAGCAAAACTTAATTTTTGATTAGTAATATGCATTGCTAAGAACTTAATTTGGACAACTTTAAAGATGATTTTCTCAATATTTAGATTTTTTTGCACCCTCAGATTCCAGATTTTCAAATAGTTGTATCTCAGCCAAATATTGTCCTATCCTAACAAACCATACATCAATGGAAAGCTTATTTATGCTGTATATATCTCAATTTCATAAATTTGACCCTTATGACTGGTTTTGTGGTCCAGGGTCACAATATGGGGTGTAATTCTATCCTTCTACCTCCCATCAGCCGTCATTCGAATAAGCGCCACCTCGGCCGGAGTCCCAATGAAGGCCCCTGTGGCCCCGGCGGTCATCCCGATGAGAGCCTTCATGAAGAAGTTAGGAGGTGTGCCATCAGCTTTGGACATGCGCTCAAACAGGACGGTGTAGATGCCCAAACGGGTCGTGGTGTAGGTAGCCTGTCTCAACAGACCCGCAGAAAGTCTGAAGAACACGGGACAGAAAAAGACGGAGGCGTGAATGCAATAAACGCGCAGCGAGACAAGAATGAGATGTTTAATCGGATATTTACTGCTTGGCTCCATCTACAGTCACTCAGTAAGGAAGTCCAGCTAGAGCTCCCTAGTCTCTCACATCCAGTGTCTGGTACAATTAATCTTAGAAAAACAAAAAAAGCATTCATTCAGTAATTCATTGAACTGCAGTAGCCTTCTGAAACCTCTAAGCTCTCTATCTAATCTCTCTTGTTGGCTTGCATCTCGTTGAGCCTGTCTTTCGTACCCGGTGTAGATCCCGCCGATGCCCTCGTTGCGAAGGATGCTGGCCACGGCATGGAAGCTGGTCTTGTACTCGCGAGCCTTGGAGCCCTGACCGCTCAACTGCATTCGGTTCTTCACCAGATCCAGCGGCTGCACAAACACCGTGGCACCCATCCTGGAAGTCAGGACGAATGCACATTAGCTTAATCACTTTTTACTTTAAAGTCCTAGTCCTACTTAAATTTTAATTTAAACTCATGTAAGGGTATTATGCCTTTAACATCTACACGCAAGGACAACCTGTTTATGAAACAGCACTGATTTACAGGTCTTGAGTGCTGTCTTACATTTGTCAGAATTATTAGTATAATTTTTTATTTTAATTCTGTCATTTTTGTGTTTTCAGCAAATGCCAGCTGCTCCTCCTGTAATGAAATGGCATTTCATGATAAATCAGACACATTTAACCTCCTGAGACTCAGAAAAAAAAAGCTGTGTGAATTTATATGTCATTACATTGTCTAGAGCACGAGAAAAAAATGTAAATAACAATTTTGAAAAATGATATTTTATTCATATGTTATGCTATGTGCACTGTAGAGGACACCAGGACTCAAAAAAAAAAAAGCCTGATTAACAGCTGTTTGTCCTGGTGTCCTCTACAGAAGACCAGTATGAAAATTATGCCATGTTTCGTAACAAAAAGTACATATTCTGATTTTAAACCCCATAACATTTTGCTGAGATGTTGATTTATGACAAACAGTTCAAATATTAGCCAGATTTAAATGATAATAATTACAAAACATTATCACGTTTCCCTAAGAGTGCTAAATCTGATCGTTCTGTCAATATCAGTCTCACCCTCACCCTCACACACACACTCACACACTCACACACACACTCTCACACACACAAACTAACGTTACAGAAACCAGACACGCTTTGTGCTGATCCTCTGATCATTAGCTGATGTCCCTCCCTCATCAGTACCCGCTCATTCAGCTGATGCCCGGGCCTCAGAGCGCGTACGTACCCAGCCAAGCCACCGAAGAGGAACTTAATCGATTTGGGCGAGGTTTTGGGCCTGGTCTTGGTCGTGTCCGCTGCGGCTGCCATAGCTCGGTGCTGGTTCGGGTTTCTGGAGGACTCCTGCGCTGCTGTCGCTCCGCTGCGTACAGCAAGGTGACTCGCCCGGACCAATCACGTCGAGCGGAACACGCCCGGACCAATCACGTACGACTTTTCAGGCGCTAGCCGAGTACGTACGTGACGTGTAGGTTTCGTGTAATTTCTCTTAAAGAGACAGACACATTTACCTAAACATGACCCTGGAGCACAAAACCAGTCATAAGGGTCAATTTTTTGAAATTGAGATTTATGCATCATCTGAAAGCTGAATAATACGCTTTCCATTGATGTATGGTTTGTTAGCATAGGACAATATTTCAAAATCTGGAATCTGAGGGTGCAAAAAAATCTAAATATTGAGAAAATCATCTTTAAAGTTGTCCAAATGAAGTTCTTAGCAATGCATATTACTAATCAATAATTAAGTTTTGATATATTTACGGTAGGACATTTACAAAATATCTTCATGGAACATGATCTTTACTTAATATCCTCATGATTTTTGGCATAAAAGAAAAATGGATAATTTTGACCCATACAATGTATTGTTGGCTATTGCTACAAATATACCCCAGCGACTTAACACTGCTTTTGTGCTGCAGGGACACATATGATTTGGATTGAAATTGAATATCTTATATTTAAATGTATAAAACTAAAAGATTCGATTCTCTGGTAAAGATATATTTTTTGTTGCATAAAAATAAGAGTTTGGAGCAAAATTCGGTGATTCATTTAATAATTACGTATGCGAAATACCCAAAATTGACTAATTATAAACCTAACATTACATTATTTAAAATTGAACGCAAGCATTACACGGAAGCCTTAAAATGTCTAAGAAATAAAAAAGCAAAAAGGATGCATAGAATCCTTTTCTTATGAAAATCTCTTGTACGTTATCCCCTGCAGTTTTTTGTTTTTATTTTTTCTCCTTTCTTTCTTTCTGCTTGTTCCTTTGATGCTATTATAAATGTAATTTATATAAATACTGTGATCCTTTATATGTGTATGCTATGTTACGAAATAAAAAGAGAGAGACACGTCTTTTATCTTCGACTGTCATCCATGAAAAATAAAGATATCGCTCAAATTCATTTATTGTTTTGTCTGTATTGTCGAACGATTCGTTTATTCAGTTGTGTTTTAATGCATCGAGTTGTACATTGTTATTACTAATTTTCATTGGCATTACTGACACCTTATATTTTAAGTTAATAACATATGAATGGCTATTTTAAAGTTTGTCGGTGTCAGTGTGGAAATATTGTCCAGTTACTTTTCTCTGCGCTGCTCACAACGAACCAAACACAATCTGTGATTACTGGATAATGTACAGTGCATATACTGTACATGCATCACAAGGGAATTCTGTAATTTTGAAGAGTATGATCAGTCAAAAAAATACCTTTCCAGTTTTATATAGCCTACTATGACTAAGTCATCTAAATTAACACCATGTAGCCTACTTACTATAGACAGGGGCAGACTTACCCATTAGGCAAATGGGGCCCCCAAAAGCCAAGGGCCCCTAAAATGCTTTTCATATACGAGATGCGAACAGTTGCTGTTTACGCTGTTTATTATCACGACAACCGTCTGCGTGTCCGAGCTGAACGTGCTTCTACACTCTTAAAAATAAAGGTGCTTCACGATGCCATAGAAGAACCTTTTTGTCTAAATGGTTCCATAAAGAACCTTTAACATCTGAAGAACCTTTCTGTTTCACAAAAGGTTCTTTGTGGCGAAAGAAGGTTCTTCAGATTACAAAAAGGTAAGAAAGAGATGGTTCTTTAAAGAACCTTTGACTGAATGGTTCTTCTATGGCATCGCTTGAAGAACCTTTTGAAGCACCTTTATTTTTAAGAGTGTAGTGTATCCTGCTTGTAGCAAATGAAAATATCATGCATCTGAGGCTGTAATTAAATATTGAGCAACAGTGCGTATTATATGTTAATTGTTTTGAATGCCGCTACGTTACTACGCAGTTACTTTTTTGGTTGATATAATCATTAGGTGTGTAAATGTATAATTTCCTTTAAATTTGTAGTTAAAATAACTAAAATGTAGTAGTAGGCTACTTGCTCGTAATTATGCACAATTTAATTTTATTTCTATAGTGAATGCACGTATTAGAATATCGAATGTTCTTGTTGTTTTTTCCGGCCTTTCTTGAATAATCATTTTGTTCTATTCTGTCTGGTCATCCAAATGCAATGTAATGATTTAAATTCATTACTGTGTGTTATGTGTTTTCAATGACTACTCCATTTTTTCAGTGTGAGTGTTGAGGTGTGAAATGTTGTCCAGATCAATAGGTCCAAACCACTGCTGAACCGCCTACACTTTAATTGTGTAACTTTTCTCAGCGCTGCTCAGAATGGACCAATCAGAAACGTTTGTGATTACTGGATACATTATTATTTTTTTCTGTGGCTGTTAAAGTGTCTCAGAGTCATGCACCGGGTTTCTGTCCAGTCCCAGCAGCATCAACAAAAACATATGAAAAACACAAAGAGCAGAAAGCGATTAAATTGAGCTCTCGCTTTTCAATACTCAAAGTGGCCCCTGAAAGAATAACACTTTCATCAGCTTTCAGCAAACTAAAAAAGGTTTAGCAACATTTGCCTTCTAAAATAATGCAACATTGCTTCCTGCTGAAAAGAAGTCGTTTTGTCTTCGACCTGATTTTGTTCACTATCATATCTAGCTATGAAAAGTGCTTTTTGAATATCAAAGCAATAAAACCTGTCTCCGGAAGAAAGCAATAACTCTTGAATTTCCATTGAAGATTGCAATATACATAAAATATGTGTAGTTTCATACACAAAAGTATCAACAATGTTTTTGCACGATACCATTTTTCTTTTTTTTTTTGGACATAGACTTTAGTAAAATCATTGGGATCTTTTAAGAAGAATGTGATGATTCAGTACAGTGGTATTTTTCTAATTAAAATGGTATAATCATCCGAGGTTTAATGCCGTCCAGGGAAGATCACTGATTTAATTTAAGACAGATGGATGTCTGTAATATAATGAATTGTAGCATGACAATAGGGGGCATCCTAGGCTCTTGCAGTGATTTGACATTGTTTCAGAAGCAAGGTCGTTCTTTCATTGTCTGATGAATCTGACGGAACAAGCGCAGACAGTCTCACAGAACCGCTCACAGACTTAATGCTGTCCCTGGAGCAGATATATACTTATTTACATATAAGAAAATATACAGTAGGCTATATAAAACACACAGTATAAGAATCTCTATGTGCATATATACAGATACGTGAAGTAATACAAGGCAGCATTTAATGTGCAAAATATGCAATTTGCTAAATAAATAAATAAAATAAAAAAGATCAGTCCTTGTAATGCAACAATATGAAACAATGTGTGCTAAATCTTCTGTAGTTGAACAATAGCATGCATATTCTGGTATTGAATGTTGAAATTAGCATAGAAGAAGAGGCACTTACTGTATGTTATTTCTGCGTGAAAATGTGTGAATGCATTGTAGTATACCCTATTTATGTTCATGCCTAAGGCATGGAATATTTAAGTTTATTTATAAAGAGTACAACTGTGTATGTTTGCAGCCATGTGTGTAACCAATGATGAAATGCACAAACTCATACAACACATGTGTCCATTTGATGTTCATATCAGGTTAGAAGTTTATTGTTTGCTTCGCTCGTGTGTGTGTGTGTGTGTGTGTGTGTGTGTGTCTGTGTCTGTGTGTGTGCTTTCTGATCGTGTTCAGTTCTGGCTCTGCTCCCCTGAGAGTGTATATTGGCTGGCACTTTTCCTTTGGTGCATCATGATAACCCATCACAGTTTCTCCTGAAGGCTGTGCGATGCCTTTGGCATCTCCCTGTCACCATGCATTATGACTCTTTTATTCATTCATGTATGTGTGTGTG